CTTCAGGTTAGAACATCACGTAGCTATTTTAATTACCTCTCAAACTACCTAAACTAGTTATAGATATGTTTAGTTTACTGTCGGGTCACTCATTACTGGATCCGCGAGCTGCATGATACTGACGGGCTGTCAGGAGAGAGAGAGAGCGCTCCGTTTATTATTCCCGTGTTATAAGTTACTGTACACTTTTGAATAATGTAGTTTATCTACTATAATTAGTTTGTTTAATATCGAATCATATCAATTTGTTTTAAAGCTCAATAAATAACAAAGAAGACCTTTGACCGGCACTTTTCTCATTTTGTCCGGAAGATTTCAACTTTAACGGACATGTTGACCAGCAAACAAATATTCTAACGGGAACTCTGCCACATACACAAATAAAAGCTGCAATTTCAACATGTCTAAGCATCCTGTATCATAGCCATGCTAATAATGTTTATAATAAACCAAACCGTTTGTAAATCAGTCAAGATTTCAGCGAGTTAAGAGTATTTTTGTGCAGATCACTCGCCTTACAACAGCTACCATAGCGCGTTCCAGAGTAGCTGTTGACTGTAGCAAGATGGCGGCCAGTGAGCTACGCTGGAAAATCTCCCATGAGCCATCTAGTGTTTATATATATCTATGGAGAACACTACCTGGTTCTGATTGGACAGGGAGAACATTACCTGGTTCTGACTGGACACGGAGAACATTACCTGGTTCTGACTGGACACGGAGAACACTACCTGGTTCTGATTGGACAGGGAGAACACTACCTGGTTCTGATTGGACACGTAGAACACTACCCGGTTCTGATTGGACACGGAGAACACTACCTGGTTCTGATTGGACAGGGAGAACACTACCTGGTTCTGATTGGACACGTAGAACACTACCCGGTTCTGATTGGACAGGGAGACCATTACCTGGTTCTGACTGGACAGGGAGAACATTACCTGGTTCTGACTGGACACGGAGAACACTACCCGGTTCTGATTGGACACGGAGAACACTACCTGGTTCTGACTGGACACGGAGAACACTACCTGGTTCTGATTGGACAGGGAGAACATTACCTGGTTCTGACTGGACACGTAGAACACTACCTGGTTCTGATTGGACACGGAGAACACTACCTGGTTCTGATTGGATAGGGAGAACATTACCTAGTTCTGATTGGACAGGGAGACCTGTCCGTTGATTGGTATGATATCCTTATATGGGCAGAAATCCTAAATTACTGGAACGTGTTGCTGGAACGTGTTGCTGGAACGTGTTGCTGGAACGTGTTGCTGTGTTGCTGGAACGTGTTGCTGTGTTGCTGGAACGTGTTGCTGGAACGTGTTGCTGGAACGTGTTGCTGGAACGTGTTGCTGGAAAGTGTTGCTGGAACGTGTTGCTGGAACGTGTTGCTGGAACGTGTTGCTGGAACGTGTTGCTGTGTTGCTGGAACGTGTTGCTGGAACGTGTTGCTGGAACGTGTTGCTGTGTTGCTGGAACGTGTTGCTGGAAAGTGTTGCTGGAACGTGTTGCTGTGTTGCTGGAACGTGTTGCTGTGTTGCTGGAACGTGTTGCTGGAAAGTGTTGCTGGAACGTGTTGCTGTGTTGCTGGAACGTGTTGCTGTGTTGCTGGAACGTGTTGCTGTGTTGCTGGAAAGTGTTGCTGGAACGTGTTGCTGTGTTGCTGGAACGTGTTGCTGTGTTGCTGGAAAGTGTTGCTGTGTTGCTGGAACGTGTTGCTGGAACGTGTTGCTGTGTTGCTGGAACGTGTTGCTGGAACGTGTTGCTGTGTTGCTGGAACGTGTTGCTGGAACGTGTTGCTGGAACGTGTTGCTGTGTTGCTGGAACGTGTTGCTGTGTTGCTGGAACGTGTTGCTGGAACGTGTTGCTGTGTTGCTGGAACGTGTTGCTGTGTTGCTGGAACGTGTTGCTGTGTTGCTGGAACGTGTTGCTGGAACGTGTTGCTGGAACGTGTTGCTGGAACGTATGCTCGACCTCTCTTCTGTCCAGAACCAGAACCTGACACCAGCGGGTGAAATTCTAAACGCCGTTAAATATTAAAGCTGGCTCATAGCTTTGTGTTTCAGAGATGTGTTTTCTGCTTCGCTCAAAGGATTTACTTTAATAAACCGAGGCCTGACACAGTGGTATCTTAGTGTCTGTTGACTTCCTGTCTGCACAGGAAGCTGCGGTTAGATTTATTGACAACATAGAAGTAATGGTTTCTAAGAAACCGGCCGGCCCGGACAACGTAGAACCTTTCTTTTTAAAGATAGCTGCAGATTTTATTGCTCCACCTCTCACTACTCTTTTTAACCTCTCCCTCAGCACAAACACAATTCCTAAAGTATGGAAGTCAGCGTATGTCCTGCCTTTACTGAAAGGTGGGGAGGCCACTTTATTAAATAATTATAGGCCCATCTCTAAATTATCAGTTCTGGCTAAGGTTCATGAACGCCTAGTGAGTGAACAGGTAAAGGTGTTTTTATGTACAAATGACATCCTGTCTAAACATCAGTCAGGCTTCAGAAAGCAACATAGCACCATCACTGCCACAATGAAAGTGGTGAATGACATTATAAGTATTTTAGATAATAAGCAGAGCTGTGCAGCTCTATTTATTGACCTTTCTAAAGCGTTTGATACCATCGATCATCACATCTTGAAGCAGAGGCTACTCAGTATTGGCTTATCCAGCCATGCAGTGGGTGGTTTGTGAACTACCTCTCTGAAAGGTCCCAATGTGTTCACTTTGATGGGCTGTCTTCTGAGTGGTTAAACATTGCTAATGGTGTTCCTCAAGGTTCTGTTTTAGGTCCACTTTTATTCTCCATCTACATCAATAGTTTAGGTGAAAATGTGGATGATGCTACTTTGCATTTTGATGTGGATGATACCGTGATGTACTGTGCAGGTCCCTCCATTAAGGAGGCTGTTGTTAAATTACAGGCTGTTTTTAACATTATTCAGACTCAGCTCTCTGAACTTAAGCTTCTTTTAAATGTTGATAAAACCAAAGTAATGCTCTTTTCAAAAGCTAAAAAGACACCAGAGCCTGTTTTAGATATTGTTACTATGCAAGGACAAGTACTCCAAGTGGTTAGCTGTTATAAATACCTTGGTATCTGGCTTGATGATTGTCTCACTTTTAAACTTCAGGTCATTAATCTGCTTAAAAGCTGAGGGTTAGACTAGGTTTCTTTTTCAGAAACAAGTCCTGTTTCTCACTTGAGGCCAGGAAAAGGCTCTGTGACCTTTTGACCTGTGCTGGACTATGGTGATCTGATCTATATGAATGCACCTGCCCATTGCCTGGTCAAGTTAGATGCTGCGTATCACAGTGCACTGAGATTTGTGACAAACTGTAAAGCATTAACCCATCACTGTACCCTGTATGCAAGGGCTGGTCTGCCTTCACTAACTGTACGGAGGCTCAGTCACTGGTACATTTTTATATATAAAGCCATGTTAGGGAAACTTCCATCCTACATCTGCTCCCTGATCTCACGGCGAATTGTAAGTGGCTACTGCCTGAGATCGCATGCTGTGGTTTTATTAAATGTGCCAACTGCTAGGACTGTCTTAGGGAAGATAGCATTTAGATGCGCAGCTCCACTGTCCTGGAATAGTCTGCAATTAAAATGGAAACTGAGCAATCTGGTGCCACTAAATGTTTTGAAAGCTCGGTTGGATGCTACTCAATCGGAAGCTGTTGGTACCTGTGCATGTGGATAGTATGTAAACTGTAATCCCTGTAATGATGCTGTATGATGTCCTTTTGTTGTTCTGTTTATGTTTATGTTTCATGTGGAACCTACTTGAGCAGAGGCCTGTACTACGAAGCTGGTTCAACCTAACCTGGATATGTCTGAGTTAGCCAGTTGGCCCAATCCAAAACATACGCGCTCTCGCTAAGCTGTACTACGACGCTGGTTATCAAGTGGATCGCTCAAGCCAGCCGTGTCCTATCTAGTTAGGTGTGCGTTCACATGAAAGGGGTGGTATCTGGAGCATTCAACCAATCACAAACATGGACAAGCGTACTGACAGCGCAGCGTCATACTTCCTGAATGAAAAGTGAACTATAATATTAGTCAAATATGAAGAAGTTAAACTTTAAACATCCATGACTTAAACACTTTATCCAGGATCAAAGCCACATAGCTGCACCTGCAAGGTGAATACAGCTGGTAACAGAGAAAGTGTTTGAATGCGTACATTAACAGGTTTATGATATCACTGCCCCGTCCAAGACACGATCTGACTTTAATTACATTTGACTCGAGTGTTTCATCAACTTAATGTGTTGCTTAAAATAATACTTCTGCATACAGTATGTGACACTGTGAGTGTTGCACGGCCAGATACGGCTCAGCTGACTCAGATAAGGAGATATATGATACATTATGATGTGATATGATATGAATGATAATGGGACACATCGACGTCTGCACTCACAGTGCCGCGGACTGTACTTAATGTTACTCTGATCCGGTTACTTATGTTGTGGCAGATATTTAAGTAAGCTTTCTTAACGCTAATGTTATAATAGTCAGATTGCTCTGAAGATGGGAGGGGATATTCTATTAATGTTCACGTTCACACAGTCAGTTGATTTTTGCCGGCCGTCTTTCCTGCAACGGCAGTTTTTCTGTATTTCCTCTATCCTGTAATATGACTTGATCGCTTTAAACTCTGCACACTGAGCTCTGATTGGTCAGCAGGCGGTGCTTTCACTGAGTTGATCTCTTAGCCTGCCACCTAACCTGCTCCGGAGCAGGTTTGCCGCTCAGCATAAGTTACCATGGAAATCTAGCCCGCTAAAAAGAGAACCAGCGTCGTAGGACCGGAAAGCCAGAGATTTCCCTGAAGTTAGCTAAGAGAACATCCGGCTTCGTAGTACAGGCCTCTGGTCTCCCTTGAAAAAGAGATCAATGATCTCAATGGGATACAACCTGGATAAATAAAGGCTTGAAATGAACGTCTTTAATCAGCAGTTATGGTTCTGTTTCCAGGTGCTGCAGAAACTGGGGAAGGCAGACGAGACCAAAGATGAGCAGTTTGAGCAGGTGGTCGTCAACTTCAGGAGGCAGGAGGTGAGACAAACAAACACAGGGTTATATAGATATGATATTATATATCGATTCATCATTATTATTATAGATGCACATGCAGCCACATGCATCGGCCCCTCCGCAGGGGGCCACACATGAATGCTGATGAAACAGTGACATGTGATTTCATGTTTTCTCTGTCTGTCAGTCTGAAGGCTCTCGGCTGCAGAGGGAGATGAAGGCCTACATGGCGGCCATTAAAGGTGAGGCTCCTTTTGTATCACACATCATAATGTGTTATAATAAACTAACACCCTGAGTGTGTCTGTCCCCTCATCATCATATGTATTCATGTGAATAACGATAATAATCATGTCCGGTGCCTTGCTCAAGGGCACCACGGCAGGGCCCAGGAGGTGAACTGGGACCTCTCCAAGTAGCAGTCCACACTCCATATTTAGTTCTGTTCGGGGACTTGAAGCGGCGACCCTACGGCTCCCAGTCCCTACTGACTGAGCCACTGCCGGACTGTCCCCTCATCATCATATGTATTAATGTTAATAACAATAATAAACTAACACCCTGAGTGTGTGTCAGGGATGCAGCAGGCCTCCATCAACCTGACGCAGTCTCTGCACGAAGTCTACGAGCCCGACTGGCACGGCAAAGATGACGTCATGGTCATCGGGAAGGTAAGAGTCCTGAGATCTCCTACTGACAACAGCTCGTCTTCAGAATGCACCAGGGCCCTTTCTCATTTCTCTACTTCCCCTCCTCGACTCCTATCCTCGTGTCTTAGTCCCGCCCACAGGAGATGCGAGCGGAGGAGTCGAACCGAGGAGAGAGGAGGGGAAGCAGCAGGCGGTTAGAGAAATGAGAAATCCTCTCCTCTGAGCAGTCATTTTAAAGAGACGTCCATTACATGACATTACATGTCACTTGTTAGACGCTTTTATCCAAAGCGACTTACATACTGTGGGCAATCCCCACAGGAGCAATTTGGGGTGAAGTGTCTCAGGGACACAACGACATGCTGACTGCAGTGGGGTTTGAACCTGTGCTCCCTCGATCCGAACACCAACGCTCTATCCACTGCGCCACACGTCTCCTAAATTAATGATGACAGGAGGCACAGCACTCTGTCTGATGGACAGAACTGTGTTCATGATGACTTACATATGACATATACACACACATATATTTATATAAATATATACAATTTCAGAATCAAACAAGTATGAGAGCACTCTCATAATAACGTAACACTATCAGAGATTGGATATATCCCCCCCCCCCCCCCTCTCCCCTCTCTGGTCGCTACAATGAGGGAAATAAATTACGGGGCCAAAAGTTTTATTTACAAGTATTACAAGTAAGCAGAGGACACCAAACCAACTGAGACCTGTCTGTCCGCTGCATCTACGCACACACTGCACCACACACACCTACACCACACACTGTACCACACACACCTACAGCATCTAAAGCAGGGGTAGCCAACACGGTGCCCGCGGGCACTTAGTCGCCCGCAGGGGCAACGTGAGTCGCCCGCGGGGCATGTTCTAAAAATAGCTCGCAAAGCAAATCCAAAATGTAAAAAATGCACAAAACAAAAAAGGAAATGTAATTAAAAGAATCTACCCTATGCATAAACGAAACCTCAATCATAGCTAACTCCAGGGGCGTCGCCTGGACCTGAAAACATTCGGGGCTTAGCCCACAGGGGCGTCGCCTGGACCTGAAACATTCGGGGCTTAGCCCACAGTGGCGGCGGCCGCGGCGCTACAGTGGAATGTTCTACTGCAACACTCCCCACACGCACACGCACAGTACACTGTTACAATGAAGGCTCGATAATCAGCTCACGGCATATAGGCAGGGGTAAAGTGCTATTTTTTATGAGTGGGGGGCGGACCTCACCTCCTCTAGGGGGGACAGAGAGAGAGAGATAGAGAGAGAGAGAGAGAGAGAGAGAGAGAGAGAGAGAGAGAGAGAGAGAGAGAGAGAGAGAGAGAGAGAGAGAGAGAGAGAGAGAGAGAGAGAGAAAAAAAAAAAAAACAGAGAAACATGTAAACTCCACTGTCCGACCAGAATAAAATGCAACATGTACTTGGAGAAAATAGTGCCAGCAGCAGGAGGGACTAAGAGCCTGCTGGACCAATGTGAACACGGCTTTGTAGATTGTACATTTGTATGTGTCGCTATGACAACAGATTTGTTGTGTTTCTGAAGGACTGCGATGCCATGTGGGAGGATTTCCATAACAAGCTGGTGGACTCAACGCTTTTGAACCTGGATGAGTATCTTGTGCAGTTCCCAGACCTCAGAGTAAGTCCTGAACCTAAACCTGAACTTCTCTTAACCTGACCCTCTCTAAACCTGAACCTCTCTAAACCTGACCCTCTGTAAACCTGAACCTCTCTAAAGCTGAACCTAAACCTGACCCTCTCTAAACCTGACCCTCTCTAAACCTGACCCTCTCTAAACCTGAACTTCTTTAAACCTGACCCTCTCTAAACCTGACCCTCTCTAAACCTGAACTTCTTTAAACCTGACCCTCTCTAAACCTGACCCTCTGTAAACCTGAACTTCTCTAAACCTGACCCTCTGTAAACCTGAACTTCTCTAAACCTGACCCTCTGTAAACCTGAACCTCTCTAAACCTGACCCTCTGTAAACCTGAACTTCTCTAACCTTGAACCTCTCTAAACCTGAACCTCTCTAAACCTGAACTTCTCTAACCTTGAACCTCTCTAAACCTGAACTTCTCTAAACCTGAACTTCTCTAAACCTGAACTTCTCTAAACCTGAACCTCTCTAAACCTGAACTCTTCTAACCCTGACCCTCTCTAAACCTGAACCTGTCTAAACCTGAACTTCTCTAAACCTGAACCCCGGGACCTTTCAGACTCGCGTGGCCAAGAGAAGCCGGAAACTGATCGACTATGACAGCGCCCGACACCATGTGGAGACCCTGGCGCTGTCCGGGATGAAGAGTGACCGGAAGATGATAAAGGTGAGATCAGGTGTGAGGAAGATGATGAAGGTGAGCTCAGGTGTGAGGAAGATGATGAAGGTGAGCTCAGGTGTGAGGAAGATGATGAAGGTTAGCTCAGGTGTGAGGGAGATGATGAAGGTGAGCTCAGGTGTGAGGAAGATGATGAAGGTTAGCTCAGGTGTGAGGGAGATGATGAAGGTGAGCTCAGGCTGAGGAAGATGATGAAGGTGTGCTCAGATGTGAGGAAGATGAAGATGATGAAGGTGTGAGGAAGATGATGGAGGTGTGAGATGTTCTTCTGTAACTCGTGTCTCTGTTTCAGGCGGACGACGAGCTGAAGAAGGCTCAGAAGGTGTTCGATGAGCTGGACGTTGGTCTGCAGGACGAGCTGCCCTCTCTGTGGGACAGGTGAGTCTCATGCACACCTAGTGAGTCTCAGGCACTCCTGGCTAGTCTCACGCAGACCTGGTGAGTCTCAGACACACCTGGTGAGAGTCTCATGCACACCTGGTGAGTCTCAGGCAAACCTGGTGAGTCTCAGGCACACCTGGTGAGTCTCAGGCACACCTGGTGAGTCTCATGCACACCTGGTGAGTCTCAGGCACACCTGGTGTGTCTCATGCACACCTGGTGAGTCTCAGGCACACCTGGTGTGTCTCATGCACACCTGGTGAGTCTCAGGCACACCTGGTGAGTCTCAGGCACACCTGGTGAGTCTCATGCACACCTGGTGAGTCTCAGGCACACCTGGTGTGTCTCATGCACACCTGGTGTGTCTCATGCACACCTGGTGAGTCTCAGGCACACCTGGTGTGTCTCATGCACACCTGGTGAGTCTCATGCACACCTGGTGAGTCTCAGGCACACCTGGTGTGTCTCATGCACACCTGGTGAGTCTCATGCACACCTGGTGAGTCTCAGGCACACCTGGTGTGTCTCATGCACACCTGGTGAGTCTCATGCACACCTGGTGAGTCTCAGGCACACCTGGTGAGTCTCATGCACACCTGGTGTGTCTCATGCACACCTGGTGAGTCTCAGGCACACCTGGTGAGTCTCAGGCACACCTGGTGAGTCTCAGGCACACCTGGTGTGTCTCATGCACACCTGGTGTGTCTCATGCACACTGTCCCACAACAGGTGATGCAATAACTGATAACCAGTGTTTCCTGTCACCCTGCAGCCGGGTGGGATTCTACATCAGCACCTTCAAGAGTGTCACTAACCTGGAAGCCAAGTTCCACCGCGAGATCTCTCTGGTGAGGGGGGGGGGGGGGGGTACCTGGTATCTGTGTTCCTCACCTGTATCTCTGTGTGACATCACATTACCTGCAGAGGACTCACCTGTATCTCTGTGACATCACATTACCTGCAGAGGACTCACCTGTATCTCTGTGACATCACATTACCTGCAGAGGACTCACCTGTATCTCTGTGACATCACGTTACCTGCGTAGAGGACTCACCTGTATCTCTGTGACATCACATTACCTGCAGAGGACTCACCTGTATCTCTGTGTGACATCACATTACCTGCAGAGGACTCACCTGTATCTCTGTGTGACATCACATTACCTGCAGAGGACTCACCTGTATCTCTGTGTGACATCACATTACCTGCAGAGGACTCACCTGTATCTCTGTGTGACATCACGTTACCTGCAGAGGACTCACCTGTATCTCTGTGTGACATCACGTTACCTGCAGAGGACTCACCTGTATCTCTGTGACATCACGTTACCTGCAGAGTGACTCACCTGTATCTCTGTGTGACATCACGTTACCTGCAGAGGACTCACCTGTATCTCTGTGACATCACGTTACCTGCAGAGTGACTCACCTGTATCTCTGTGTGACATCGCGTTACCTGCGTAGAGGACTCACCTGTATCTCTGTGTGACATCACGTTACCTGCGCAAAGGACTCACCTGTGTTTCTCTGCAGGTGTGCCGGCAGCTGTACGAGGTGATGACGCAGCTGGCCGAGCAGCACTCTGACAAGATGTTCACCATCCAAGGAGCCCCCAGGTCAGACCCCCTTCTTGTCTTTAGCAGTCTTTCAAAGTGTTGGACCTCATTATGATTGTATTTTATTCAAGAATGGGAGCTTGTTGATAATTGGTTTCATAGACTTCAGTCCCTCAGTGGAGTTCATTTTCCACATACGATACGATATACTTTATTGTCCCCGTAAGGAGATTTGTTCTGGACTCCGTCCTGCAGTTCCGCATACATTTACATATTCAAACATAATACACATTAAAAGACATACACATATCATCACTCATGCACCGTTTGAACAAACACAATACACAGACGCACATACTGACAATGGCGACCTATTGCATTGCACAACCCTCATGGCCAACACTTAAGAGTATATACTTAAGAAGCTCAATGGACATAGTGTAGGCAGGAATGAGTGCTTATAGCGGTTCAGCCTGCTCTTGGGAACCCTGAATCTTCTACCAGAAGAGGAGCTGGAGGTCTCGGTGGAGAATTTGGGGGTGGGATCAGACACCATTTTGTGTGCCTGTCTAATAATGGACTGCTCATACATGAAGACTAAAGTTCAGATTCACCTGACATGATTCTGTCTGGACCTGCAGCGACTCAGGACCGCTGAGACTCGCCAGAACCCCTTCACCTCCAGAGGACGAGAGCCCGCCGGAGAGCCCCGACGTCAGCTCCAACCACATGCTGCGCCCTGTTTCCCCTGGACCCCCACGGCCCAAATCCCCCATACAGGTAGACCTGATCCTGAATCACTGACACCACAGGTAGACCTGATCCTGAATCACTGACACCACAGGTAGAACTGTTGCTCTGGAATCATGGGATATGTAGTTTTAAGCTCATGAAGATGATGTGTGTGTGATAAAGATGATGTGTGTGTGATGAAGAGGATGTGTATGTGATGAAGATGATGTGTGTGCTATGAAGAGAATGTGTGTGTGATGAAGAGGATGTGTGTGTGATGAAGATGATGTGTGTGTGATGAAGATGATGTTTGTGTTTCTGTATTTCTGACTTCACAGTAACTCTCTGTTTTTCTTTGCCGCACACTTGTCTGTAATCTGGTGAGTGAACCTGCTGTCCCGTCTGTGAGAGGGTATATAACACCACAGAGGTTATATACTGTACTACACACAATATCCACATGATATATGTTATATACGTTATATATAATCATACATACATTAGGTACATGATATACGTTATTTATAAGTTGCAAACACATAGGAGTACAGTGTCCAGTAGTTACCTGTTGCCTTTACATGTTTGTCAGATGCATTTGGACAAATATGTGTGTGTGTGTATGTGACGTAGGTGTATACATGGGTGAGTACATATGTGACTATATATATATATATATATACGAGTGATGCCCTCCACATGAAGTGCATATGATGCTGCTCGGCCACAGTGAACTTTAGGGGTGTCATTATTTAGAGAAGTCATCAGGAGTAAATGAAGCTGCAGTCTGGGGATGGGGGGGTTACCTGGACAGGTAAGTGCGGGGCAGAAAACACTGCTGTCCCCCTGACTAGAATCAATACAACTTTAACAAACAACACCGGCACTCACAGTTAGCTGGTTAGCATTAGCAACGCATTGACCGCAGACACCAAAACACCAACGACACACAACAGAGTGAATGAGTGAATGAGTGAATGAGTGAATGAGTGAATGAGTGAATGATAATCCCAGACTCCCTGAAGATCTGTATCTCTTGGTCCGTGTCATCCCGTGTGTTTTCTTCGGTTCTCTTCCCTGCTGCTCCAGGCGATCAGCTGACGCCTTGTGTTGTGTTTCTGCAGCTGAGAAAGGGTCCGCCGGTGCCCCCACAACCGAAGGCCACACCGACCAAGGAAGTGGCAGAGGAGCAGATCATCGACCTGTTTGGAGGGGAGTTCTTACCGGCACCGACACCGTCGCAGGTCAGTCCTTCAGCAGAGCGGTCATACTAATGGCGCATTTCCACTACAGGGCCTCGCCCGGCCTCACTCGGTATGGCTAGGCCTCGTTAGGCCTCGTTAGGACTGGCTCACTTTATGCTGCGTTTCCATTACAGTTTAGTAGCTGGGGCAGTATCTATAGTAACGCAGTGTAGGCGGAGCCGTGACGTCATCTTCAATGAGAACCACAGAAACAACATTAGCCGTTAGCTGTTAGCACTCAGAGCTCACAGCTCCTCATATCTGTTCAGAAACTAGACAAAAGTTAAACAAGTACAAACCACAGACTGTCTGTGATCTCCATCTAGAAAACACGCATTTTAAAAGGTGTTTCTCCTGCCGTCTGTCTGCAGACTTGTCAAAGCATTAATTCATGGTTTTTACTAACCGGTATCAGTATGTTGTTACTTCGGCATCATTTTGAAACGTGTATTACAATTAAATCACGGTCAAATATGTCCATCTTGTTGTAGTTGTAGCCCCCTTGCCAGCGATGCTCTCTCTAGTTCAGCAAACTCAGCCCGACTCAGCCTGGTGGTTGGCCTGGAAAGAACCTCGATTTTATGGGGCCAGAAAAACTGTGAAATAGTACCCGCTAGCTGGTACTACGCTAAGTGGAAACGCAACCAAAAACGGGCCGGGCACGGCACGCTTAAAGCGAGCTCCGAGCTGTAGTGGAAATGCGCCATAAGTGTACTTAAACCCCCCCCCCCCCTGTTGACCTGCTGTTTGTGTTGTCCGCAGCCCAACGAACGACCAGGAGAATCTCTCCTCGACCTGGACTTTGATGCTTTTGAGCCAGATGAGAGTGTTTCTCCAATCCCACAGGTTCCCGCAGCACACACACACACACACACACACACACACACACACACACACACACACACACACACACACACACACACACACACACACACACACACACACACACACACACACACACACACACACACACACACACACACACACACACACACACACACGTTTCATCAGTCTTGAAACTACACATAATGACCTGAAACTAATGACCTGAAACTAATTACCTGAAACTACACATAATTACCTGAAACTACACATAATCAGTGGCGTTTTCTCCTGGAGGCCAAGGGAAGCCAGACTTCCCCTGTTTTTTCGGATTGTAGTTATAATCTTAATAAATAAATAAAAACACTTTGTTTAGTTTCGGTCATTCTTCTTTGCTGTGTGTTGCTGCCGGCCCATCTCTGCCCCATTCTCATTGAGTATTTTACAAAGAGTGAAACAGCGCCCCTCTAGATGTAATGGTAAAACAGTAGATTGCACTCACTGTTGCGAGAGGAGCCAGAGGCGGCTGGCTTCCCTTGCCTCACAATCCAATCAAATCGCATCAACTTAGTGGTGCAGTGACCCGTCCTAAAACTCGGGTTCCCTCCACAAAAAAGCAATGGGATTTCTCCATAGGATTTTGGAAAATAGCTGGAAATAAGGTCTGTGGAAAACGAACCTGTTAGATAAATGCACGTTTTGTTCAGCCGGATAATATCCACATGTCTACCCTACTTTTATAATTTTCTAATCATAAATCTAATCGATAGATAGATAGCGTCACTGCACCACTCTCACCGCCGTTAGAAAGTAGCAAGCAACTGAAGCAAGTGCAATTATGGAGGGTGGAGATTTGGAGTTTTTAATCAAAAATAATTGTACTAAACTTCCGCTACAGCAGCAACTAAAAATTAAATCTGATGAAAGGCCGATGCCCAAACGGGAGCTGTGTACAGCGAGAAAAAAAGGAGCGAATCGGACGTAAAACGTTAAAGCTCTCCTGATTTAGTTTGTGAATTAATGCTTATTAGGGTTTCGGCTGGAGAGTGCGTGCGGACCTGTCGGTTAGATAACAGGCGTGTGTAAGTCCTGCATCTGTTTGATACAAATGTGTGTAAAATGATACCGGGCGCTGTAATCACTCATCTGGTTACGTTATTACATTGACCACCACCCCCCCCCCCCCCGACCCCAAAAAAAGGACGTATTATTGGCTTCCCCTATTTTTTTCTCCACGCCACGCTACTGCACATAATGACCTGAAACTAATGACCTGAAACTACACATAGTGACCTGAAACTAATGACCTGAAACTAATGACCTGAAACTACACATAGTGACCTGAAACTAATGACCTGAAACTACACATAGTGACCTGAAACTAATGACCTGAAACTACACATAGTGACCTGAAACTAATGACCTGAAACTACACATAGTGACCTGAAACTACACATAGTGACCTGAAACTACACATAGTGACCTGAAACTACACATAGTGACCTGAAACTAATGACCTGAAACTACACATAGTGACCTGAAACTAATGACCTGAAACTACACATAGTGACCTGAAACTAATGACCTGAAACTACACATAGTGACCTGAAACTACACATAGTGACCTGAAACTACACATAGTGACCTGAAACTACACATAGTGACCTGAAACTAATGACCTGAAACTAATGACCTGAAACTACACATAGTGACCTGAAACTAATGACCTGAAACTACACATAATGACCTGAAACTAATGACCTGAAACTACACATAATGTCCAGAAACTAATGACCTGAAACTACACATAGTGACCTGAAACTAATGACCTGAAACTACACATAGTGACCTGAAACTAATGACCTGAAACTACACATAGTGACCTGAAACTAATGACCTGAAACTACACATAGTGACCTGAAACTAATGACCTGAAACTACACATAGTGACCTGAAACTAATGACCTGAAACTACACATAGTGACCTGAAACTAATGACCTGAAACTACACATAATGTCCAGAAACTAATGACCTGAAACTACACATAGTGACCTGAAACTAATGACCTGAAACTACACATAGTGACCTGAAACTAATGACCTGAAACTACACATAGTGACCTGAAACTAATGACCTGAAACTACACATAGTGACCTGAAACTAATGACCTGAAACTACACATAATGTCCAGAAACAACATCTACTGACTGGTGACCAAGAGTCTGAAGTACTTCACTAAAGAGCTGATTCACCTTCTTAGCATCACTCATTAACTGCAGGAGGCTGAGATCCAAACTGCATACTAAACTACTGCGTAATACATCAGTATGTACTTCCTACTGTATACTGTCTGCTACAAATGGTGTAGTAGAGAATCATATTTGCACTTCACACTCTGGGTATGTATTGTGTATGAATATATTTTCATGATGAGGTGATGACGTGTTTTCTGCCCTTTCAGACCGCAGTGCCCTGGGACATGTGGTCGGTGAGTTCTGTTTCCTGTCTCAGTTAAAGCTGTCTTGGGGAGTAAAAGTAATTTCAATTGTGTTTGTTTGTTCCATGGTTTGAATGTATGATCTGATTGTTGCTAAGAGGGTTAATAAAACAAATGTGTAATTGTTTTGCTATGTAAAGGTCACCTATTATGCAAAATGCCCTTTTTGATGTCTCTTATACATCACTATTTGTCCCCGGTGTGTCCCCGGTGTGTCCCCAGTGTGTCCCCGGTGTGTCCCCAGTGTGTTCCCGGTGTGTCCCCAGTGTGTTCCCGGTGTGTCAGGAGACTCACAAAGTGATGTCTCTTCTACATCACTATTTGTACCCGGTGTGTCCCTGGTGTGTCCCCGGTGTGTCCCCGGTGTGTCCCCGGTGTGTCCCCGGTGTGTCCCTGGTGTGTCCCCGGTGTGTCAGGAGACTCTCAAAGTGTCAGGAAACAAACCCCTCTCTCTTTTCCTCCGTACCCACATCTCTAAAAACGGGGGAACAACGGAGCTGATCCAGATTTGCTGCGTCATGACAACATTACTAAAATGTGGGCGGGCTTTACACCCACGGGCCAATCAGAAACGTTGCTGTCAGAAACAATGAGACGTGTTCTGGAAGTAATATGGTCTGTGTTTACATTAGCATGCTAACACTCAGAGCTAACCTGTACTGGAGAGAGTATGTGTGAAGAAGCAGGAAATGAAAAGGAACTCACCTTGTGGTAAACCTGAGAGAGAGAGAGAGTTTGAGCTCCATACTGTTTCAGAGAGAATCCTTCATGTGGTTTGGAACATGATATGGAGCATTTAGCTGACTTTCTGCTGGGAACAGCCTTCTCTTCACAGACGAGAGGTCATGCATGCCCCAAAGGGGCGTGGCCAGCAGCAGCTCCAAAGGGGCGTGGCCAGCGGCAGCTCGGGTTACATTTAAAGCTACGGACCCAGAATAATCTCTTTAGTAACAGCTGAAAGAGAGGGGGATGAGGCTACAATGATCTGTTTGGTATTTTGAGCAAAACACTTCATAGACATGTTTTTTATATATCTGAGACCTATAATATATGCCTAAAAAAAGTATAATAGGAGACCTTTAAATAAAAACATATAAATGTATAATTGTGGTACACAGATCAGTGTTTCTGCAGATATGAACCATCTTCTATTCCCTCTTACTTTTTATAGGGAGAAGCCCAAAAAGCTGAGTCTGTAAGTACAAACAATTCCACATCATTACACACAATTGATCAACGACACACACAACGACAAAATATCTTTCTTAACAATAAAGCTTGATAAATAAAGGTTAAGAGCGGGGGAGGGGGGTCAGCTTTAACCCTGAAATCCCTGCTTTCTCCATCAGGGGGCAGACACTGGCTTCGTCGCCGACTGGTCCGCTGACTTTGGTTCTGCAAATGGAGATGCTGCTCAAGGGCCCAAGGCGCCTGATGTAGGTCCGGAGGGGGGGCTAGACACAGCTACACCTCCTCAGGACGGGGGGGCAGCCACAGCTACACCTCCTCAGGACGGGGGGGCAGCCACAGCTGGAGATGAGGTTAGCAGCTGGAGCTTTCAATGTATCCCAGATCTTCCTTCCTCTGCAGTCAGAAGTGATGAAGAGGAGACAAGACAGGCAGTTTCAGAAGTAGATACAGCAGGGCAGGAAGACCGCAGGGAGTCCACCCCAGGACTGATATTCACCAATGAGTTCGGAGAGCAGATTGAGGACAGCACAGAGGAGGGAGGAGACAGGTGGTCAAGGTCTCCAGATGGGTCTGGGTCTGAATATGAGACAGCTGAGGAGTGGGGGGATGGAGGTGCAGACGATGATCTGTCCTCTGAAGACCATCTCCCAGAGGGGTGTGAGGATCGGTCTCAAACAGTAGAACAAGTTTCAGCAGGAGAAGAGCGGCCAGGAAAACCAACAGACCTCACATCGATCTACATACACCACTCTGAAGCACAGGGTGCGTTTGATTCAGTTACCTCAGCTGAATCACAGGGAGGGGGTGTGTTTGATTCAGATCCTTTTGCTGAAGCACAGGGAGGGGGTGCGTTTGATTCAGATCCTTTTGCTGAATCACAGGGAGGGGGTGCGTTTGATTCAGATCCTTTTGCTGAATCACAAGGAGGGGGTGCGTTTGATTCGGGTACCTCAGCTGAAACACAGGGAGTGAGTGTGTTTGATTCAGATCCTTTTTCTGAAACAAAGGGAGGGGGTGCGTTTGATTCACAAGCTTTTGCTGAAACACAAGGAAGGGGTGCGTTTGATTCAGTTAATGCAGCTGAAACACAGGGAGGGGGTGTGTTTGATTCAGATCCTTTTGCTGAAACACAGGGAGGGGGTGCGTTTGATTCAGTTAATGCAGCTGAAACACAGGGAGGGGGTGTGTTTGATTCAGATCCTTTTGCTGAATCACAGGGAGGGGGTGCGTTTGATTCGGGTACCTCAGCTCAAACACAGGCAATGGGTTTGTTTGATTCAGATCCCTTTGCTGAAACACAGGGAGGGGGTGCGTTTGATTCAGATCCCTTTGCTGAAACACAGGGAGGGGGTGCGTTTGATTCAGATCCTTTTTCTGTAACACAGGGAGGGGCTGCGTTTGATTCAGTTAATGCAGCTGAAACACAGGGAGGGGGTGCGTTTGATTCAGTTAATGCAGCTGAAACACAGGGAGGGGGTGCGTTTGATTCAGTTAATGCAGCTGAAACACAGGGAGGGGGTGCGTTTGATTCAGTTAATGCAGCTGAAACACAGGGAGGGGGTGCGTTTGATTCAGTTAATGCAGCTGAAACACAGGGAGTGGGTGCGTTTGATTCAGAACCCTTTTTTGAAACACAGTTTGGAGACAAGGGGGGTGGTTTTGAATTTGATCCGTTTGCTGCTGAGACCTCAGGTGGACTTGTGTCCACTGGGGATGGAGGAGGCGGTTGGGATACAGACCCTTTTGCCCAGAGTTTCCCAGCAGCCTCTACAGGGACTGAGGATCCGGCCGCCATCAATCCACATTCCTCTGTGGCTGTTTCTGGAACAGCAGGAGGGATACAAGACTTAAACGTCACCAGAATTGACAAACAACCAGAACATTCAGACATGTCCGAAGACGAGGCTGCGAACCGGAGAATTGGAAAGTTATACCAGGCGCTAGATACAGAAAAGGAAGAGGTATTTAACTTCCTCCTGACTTCAGTGTGGTAGATTAGCGTAGAATAGAATAGATGAAATGAGAACCCGCTCTGCCTCCTACCTTCCCACAGATTGAGAACAAAGTGAAAGTAATCCTGAACCCGGATCCCTATCTCCTCCCGCCTCTCCTGCTGCCTGCTTTCTCTGCTTGTTCACATTCATTTTCTCCCTCAAAGTCTCGACTCTCGGCATCCCGACTCTCTACGTCCTGACTCCCGATGCCCCGACTCTTCGTCTCCTGACTCTCAACGTCCGACTCTCAACGTCCGACTCTCTACGTCCGACTCTTGATGTCCTGACTCTCGACGTCCTGACTCTTGACGTCCTGACTCTCTACGTCCTGACTCTCTACGTCCTGACTCTCTACGTCCTGACTCTTGATGTCCTGACTCTCTACGTCCTGACTCTTGACGTCCTGACTCTCTACGTCCTGACTCTCTACGTCCTGACTCTCTACGTCCTGACTCTCTACGTCCTGACTCTCTACGTCTGACTCTCTACGTCTGACTCTCTACGTCCTGACTCTCTACGTCCTGACTCTCTACGTCCTGACTCTCTACGTCTTGACTCTCTACGTCCTGACTCTCTACGTCCTGACTCTCTACGTCCTGACTCTCTACGTCTTGACTCTCTACGTCCTGACTCTCTACGTCCTGACTCTCTACGTCTTGACTCTCTACGTCCTGACTCTCAACGTCCTGACTCTCTACGTCTTGACTCTCTATGTCCTGACTCTCTACGTCCTGACTCTTGATGTCCTGACTCTCTACGTCCTGACTCTCTACGTCCTGACTCTCTACGTCCTGACTCTCGACGTCCTGACTCTCGACGTCCTGACTCTCGACGTCCTGACTCTCGATGTCCTGACTCTCTACGTCCTGACTCTCTACGTCCTGACTCTCTATGTCCTGACTCTCTACGTCCTGACTCTCTACGTCCTGACTCTCTACGTCCTGACTCTCTACGTCCTGACTCTTGATGTCCTGACTCTCTACGTCCTGACTCTCTACGTCCTGACTCTCTACGTCCTGACTCTCTACGTCCTGACTCTCGACGTCCTGACTCTCTACGTCCTGACTCTCTACGTCCTGACTCTCTACGTCCTGACTCTCAACGTCCTGACTCTCAACGTCCTGACTCTCTACGTCCTGACTCTCTACGTCCTGACTCTCTACGTCCTGACTCTCTACGTCCTGACTCTCTACGTCCTGACTCTCTACGTCCTGACTCTCAACGTCCTGACTCTCAACGTCCTGACTCTCTACGTCCTGACTCTCTACGTCCTGACTCTCTACGTCCTGACTCTCTACGTCCTGACTCTCTACGTCCTGACTCTTGACGTCCTGACTCTTGACGTCCTGACTCTCTACGTCTGACTCTCTACGTCTGACTCTCTACGTCTGACTCTCTACGTCCTGACTCTCTACGTCTGACTCTCTACGTCCTGACTCTCTACGTCTGACTCTCTACGTCTGACTCTCAACGTCCTGACTCTCTACGTCTGACTCTCAACGTCCTGACACTCTACGTCTGACTCTCTACGTCCTGACTCTCTACGTCTGACTCTCTACGTCTGACTCTCTACGTCTGACTCTCTACGTCCTGACTCTCTACGTCTGACTCTCTACGTCCTGACTCTCTACGTCCTGACTCTCTACGTCTGACTCTCTACGTCCTGACTCTCAACGTCCTGACTCTCAACGTCCTGACTCTCTACGTCTGACTCTCTACGTCCTGACTCTCTACGTCCTGACTCTCTACGTCCTGACTCTCGACGTCCTGACTCTCTACGTCCGACTCTCGACGTCCTGACTCTTGACGTCCTGACTCTCTACGTCCGACTCTTGACGTCCTGACTCTTGACGTCCTGACTCTCTACATCCTGACTCTTGACGTCCTGACTCTTGACGTCCTGACTCTCAACGTCCTGACTCTCAACGTCCTGACTCTCTACGTCCTGACTCTCTACGTCTTGACTCTCAACGTCCTGACTCTCAACGTCCTGACTCTCTACGTCCTGACTCTCTACGTCCTGACTCTCTACGTCCTGACTCTCTACGTCCTGACTCTCTACGTCCTGACTCTCTACGTCCTGACTCTCTACGTCCTGACTCTCGACGTCCTGACTCTTGACGTCCTGACTCTCTACGTCCTGACTCTCTACGTCCTGACTCTCAACGTCCTGACTCTCAACGTCCTGACTCTCTACGTCCTGACTCTCTACGTCTGACTCTCTACGTCCTGACTCTCTACGTCTGACTCTCTACGTCCTGACTCTCTACGTCCTGACTCTCTACGTCTGACTCTCTACGTCCTGACTCTCTACGTCTGACTCTCTACGTCTGACTCTCAACGTCCTGACTCTCTACGTCTGACTCTCTACGTCCTGACTCTCTACGTCCTGACTCTCTACGTCCTGACTCTCTACGTCCTGACTCTCTACGTCTGACTCTCTACGTCCTGACTCTCTACGTCCTGACTCTCTACGTCCTGACTCTCTACGTCCTGACTCTCTACGTCCTGACTCTCTACATCCTGACTCTCAACGTCCTGACTCTCTACGTCCGACTCTTGACGTCCTGACTCTTGACGTCCTGACTCTCTACGTCCGACTCTCGACGTCCTGACTCTTGACGTCCTGACTCTCTACGTCCGACTCTCGACGTCCTGACTCTTGACGTCCTGACTCTCTACGTCCTGACTCTTGATGTCCTGACTCTCTACGTCCTGACTCTCTACGTCCTGACTCTCAACGTCCTGACTCTTCGTCTCCTGACTCTTTGTCTCCTGACTCTTCGTCTCCTGACTCTCTTCGTCTCCTGACTCTCGACGTCCTGACTCTTCGTCTCCTGACTCTCTACATCCTGACTCTCTACGTCCTGACTCTCTACGTCCTGACTCTCAACGTCCTGACTCTCAACGTCCTGACTCTCTACGTCTGACTCTCTACGTCCTGACTCTCTACGTCCTGACTCTCTACGTCCTGACTCTCAACGTCCTGACTCTCTACGTCCTGACTCTCTACGTCCTGACTCTTCGTCTCCTGACTCTCTACGTCCTGACTCTCTACGTCCTGACTCTCTACGTCCTGACTCTTCGTTTCCTGACTCTCTACGTCCTGACTCTCTACGTCCTGACTCTCTACGTCCTGACTCTCAACGTCCTGACTCTCAACGTCCTGACTCTCTACGTCTGACTCTCTACGTCCTGACTCTCTACGTCCTGACTCTCTACGTCCTGACTCTCTACGTCCTGACTCTCTACGTCCTGACTCTCTACGTCCTGACTCTTGACGTCCTGACTCTCTACGTCTGACTCTCTACGTCCTGACTCTCTACGTCCTGACTCTCTACGTCCTGACTCTCTACATCCTGACTCTCAACGTCCTGACTCTCAACGTCCTGACTCTCAACGTCTGACTCTCTACATCCTGACTCTCAACGTCCTGACTCTCTACGTCCGACTCTTGACGTCCTGACTCTCTACGTCCTGACTCTCAACGTCCTGACTCTCAACGTCTGACTCTCTACATCCTGACTCTCAACGTCCTGACTCTCTACGTCCGACTCTTGACGTCCTGACTCTTGACGTCCTGACTCTCTACGTCCGACTCTCGACGTCCTGACTCTTGACGTCCTGACTCTCTACGTCCGACTCTTGACGTCCTGACTCTTGACGTCCTGACTCTCTACATCCTGACTCTTGACGTCCTGACTCTTGACGTCCTGACTCTCTACGTCCGACTCTCTAAGTCCTGACTCTTGACATCCTGACTCTCAACGTCTTGACTCTTCGTCTCCTGACTCTCAAAGTCCGACTCTTGACGTCCTGACTCTTGACGTCCTGACTCTTGACGTCCTGACTCTCAAGCCCCGTTTCTCAGCGACCGACTCTCAATGTCCCAACTTTTAACTTCCCGATTCATTCGACCCTGTATCTTAGGGTCCCACTTCTTAACGTCCTTTACCCTAACATCCTGACTACTCTTAATGTCCAACTTCTTAATGTCCTTAATGTTAACACGTCTCTACTTCCTGTTCCTGAACAGTATGCTTACGTCCTGGCTGTAATTGACACTCAAAGTCCCAACTCTTATTTCCTGTCTGCATGTGCTTTAAGGATTTCCTCTCTTGTGTGAATGTTATATAATCATATATTGACAAGTCCTGATTGTTGACTCTTCTCTGTTTTTAATGTGTGCACTCTGAAGAATGCCACCGCCCCGTCATTCTTCGCTGAATTTGATAAGATGGTGAGTTTAAACATAAGTACATTGTGTTGAAAATGATTTTGAAGGCAGCTTCCGATATGTTCATGACTATTATCGGTGTATTCATTTATTTTATTTAATGTTCTGTTGAGCAGTTTCCTTACAGGTCACAAAGGACACACCACTAAAAAGCATCTCTAATGATATCAAACAGAAACAACTATATTAGGAGTTTTACATAAGATTAATATTTGTATTTATTTATACATTCGTAGCAACCAAACTCATTTCTTCTACTGTTTTTCTGACGTCCACAACTGGGTTGGAGCTGTTGGAATGATTGGCCCATTAAGACACATGTTATTCTAAACATCTGATTGAGTTTCATGCAAAATATCAGTAGCCACATTTGAACCGTTTGGGAGTGAATTACCATCTTTCCTTGCAAAAGAATGAAGTTACAGCAGAATCAGCTGAGGGTCCGGAAGCAACAGGGACAGAACCTGCTCAGGAACAAGACAAGTATCCAGCTCCACCTGCAACTGCAGCTCCCCCTGCTGGAGAGAAGGTGGAGGAACCTGCAGCTCCCCCTGCTGGAGAGAAGGTGGAGGAACCTGCAGCTCCCTCTGCTGGAGAGAAGGTGGAGGAACCTGCAGCTCCCCCTGCTGGAGAGAAGGTGGAGGAACCTGCAGCTCCCCCTGCTGGAGAGAAGGTGGAGGAACCTGCAGCTCCCCCTGCTGGAGAGAGGGTGGAGGAACCTGCAGCTCCCCCTGCTGGAAAGAAGGTGGAGGAACCTGCATCTCCCCCTGCTGGAGAGAAGGTGGAGGAACCTGCATCTCCCCCTGCTGGAGAGAAGGTGGAGGAACCTGCATCTCCCCCTGCTGGAGAGAAGGTGGAGGAACCTGCAGCTCCCCCTGCTGGAGAGAAGGTGGAGGAACCTGCAGCTCCCCCTGCTGGAGAGAGGGTGGAGGAACCTGCAGCTCCCTCTGCTGGAGAGAAAGTGGAGGAACCTGCATCTCCCCCTGCTGGAGAAGAGGTGGAGGAACCTGCAGCTCCCCCTGCTGATGGGGAGGATAAAGCTGATCGTTTTGGCAGCCCAAAGGAGGAGAAACCTGATGTGAGTGATTACACTGTTGCCATATCACCATCATCATGACCATCATCACCATCACCATCATCACCATCACCATCACCATCACCATCATCATCATCATCTTCATCATCATCATCATCAGAAAATGGACTTTGTGCGATCTTGGTACTGATAGACCTGAGCACTGCTTTCATTACGTTGGACCACAACATCTTACTGCAGAGATTAGAACGATCAATTGGCATAAAGAGAACTGCACTAAACTGGTTTAGGTAATATCTGTCAGAATGGCTTCAGTTTGTATCTCCACATGATTGTTCTATTTCGTCCCTACTGACCGCCAGAGGCGGTGCTTTAGCACTGGATATGTCCATCGCGCGCATGCGCAGCTCGAGTACCAATAACATCAAAGTCACCTGTGACCCACGTGACACCGGCTATATCAGCCGGTGTCATCAGAGGATCTGTTCCTTTTCATCTTCTCGCTGTGCGAGGGTACCGTGGCTACATTTTTATAGCCTACAGCGTTCGTTCGGTTGGAACATTTGTTCAAGGATTCTCTGCAAACAGCTGACTGCGTGCAGCTTCGCGACTCATCCAGTCGGAGCCGCGTCCTCCAGGAGCTGTGGCTGGCTGCGCAGAGACTTCGTTTGGACAGGTTGGTGTCAGCTTGGTTGGTGATGGCAGTGTTTCCGCTCCCTCTCCCAGCCAAGTTGTCCTGATTACAGTCTGTTTGCTTTTTGTTCTGACCGCGGCATTGAGCCAAGCTATTATTAGCATTTTGAGTTTCCAGCTTTGGCTGTGTTTCTTGTTTGGCTAGTTAGCAGTAGCGGCTGCAGCCACTCGGCTGACGCCGGGATAAGTACCGGAGTTTCCCGTGCTGTTTTTTCTTTAGAAGCCTGGTCTTAGCTTTGTGTTAAAGCTTCTTTATTTTACCCAGCTAGGTGAAGGCAGTGCTCTCGCTCCCGCTCCCCACTCCGGTAACGTGGGTGTAATTACATCCCTCTTTCTGTTCGGCGAGTAGCAGCACCGCTCTACTCTTTCCGTTAAGCAGGTAGCTGGTGAAGGCTGTGTTCCCGCTCCCGGCTACGCTGCATCTGGCTACCTACAGAATGGCTCATTCATGTAGCGCCTGTATGGCTTCTCTTGAGCCCGAGGACGGCCATGACCGCTGCACCTCTTGCCTCGGCCTCGAGCATCTAAGGGAGGCTCTCACGGTAAGCGCATGCATTAACTGTAGCTGCATGCCTCGGGCGCTCAGAGTGGCTAGAATCACTGAGGTGGAACGTCTGGCAGCAGCCAACGGACACCTCTCCTTGTCACGTCCTCCTCCAGATCAGTTCGGCCGTTCCCGGCGACTTGAGGGAGCGATGGCTATGGGTGCACCCCCCAATAGGAGGACTAGAAACAGGCGGTCCTCTAAAGTGGATCAGCTAGCTGCCGACATGGACATGATGAAGTCGCTCCTCTTGGCCCTTCAGCCAGGGCCCGGTATAGGGGCTGCTAGCGTGCCGCCTGCCCCTCCTTTGGTTGCCGCCCCTCCTTCGGTTGCCGCACCTCTGTATGAGGATGCCTTGTCGCTAGCGCCTTCGGCTAACCTCTTCAATGAAGAGACGGAGGACGAGGTCCCGCTCGAGGAGGCTTCCCTCTCCTCTGCTCAGGGTTCTCTGCAGGGCGTGGAGGACGACTTCATGGCGGCCATTATTCGTACGGCCCTGACGCACTTGCAGATTCCGGTTCCGCAGGCCGACTTGGCTCAGGCTAGCGCCTTATTCAGGCGTAGCCCTGTCCCTGTCCCCCTCACTGTCCCTCCTTCAGAGGAGTACCTGAGGGAGCTCCATGCATGCTGGAGGGACACCAGGGCCCTCTGCCACGCTGGCTCTGATGCCCGGGCCTTGGCTGCCATGCAGGATCCGGCGAGGGTGGGGCTGGGTGGCATGCCACCCATTGAGCCTGCCATCGCCTCCCTGATTCTGGCTCCTGACGAGGCTCTAAGGCCTGAGGTCAGGTGCCCTCGGCCTCAGTGCAGGGTCACAGACGGGCTGCTCTGTAGGGCCTACGACGCAGCGGCACGCATGGGTCGTATCGGGAACTCCCTCTCCCATCTAATGCTGGCTGTCTCCACCTCTCTGCAACAGGCTCCGGCCGAGCCTTCTTTGCTGGGCCTCAGTGATGCATCACTGCAGGCCTTTGCCCTAATGGCTAGGGAATTGGGACGAGTTATGTCCTTTCTGGTACAGACTCGTCGCCAGGTTTGGCTGGCCCAGTCACCACTAACGGAGACATGTAGGAGAATCCTCCGTAGCGTGCCAGTCGAGCCAGGGGAGCTGTTTGGGTCAGCAGCCCTGGAGGCACTGGAGCGTGCTGCCCAAGCTAGGCAGACCAGGCAGCAGCTCTCGGGTCCTCACAGACCTGTGCCCGCTCCCAGCAGGCCCAGGGGCCGCTCTAGCAGCCGCACTCAGCCACCGGCTTACAGGGGTGGTCTGCAGAGGTCCCAGCGGCCCACTCAACCGCCTCCCAATGACTTTCGTGCCCAAGGTCGCCTGCCTTCCAGGCAGCCTCGTGCCTCAGAGCCTTACCGGCGCCCCCCAAGGGGCTCCAGGGGCCGGGGGGCTAGGCCCTGAAGTCCCGGGGCCGGTCGTCGGCTGGTTTTCCCAGCAGCAGCTCAGCTACTGGGCTGCCTGTACTTCCGACCCTTGGGTGGTTTCCACCCTAACCCAGGGATACGAATTGCAGTTCCAACGCCGGCCCCTAGCCTTCGGCCCGGGTCAGAATGACAGTTGTCAGCGATCCGACGAAGGCCTTAGCTCTAGCCCAAGAGTTGTCCGTCCTCTTGGCCAAGGGCGCAATCGAGCCAGTGGACCCTCTGCTTCAGTCCGGGGGGTTCTACTTGGCGTACTTTCTTGTGAGCAAGAAAGTCGGCGGATTCCGTCCAGTTCTGGACCTCAGAGGAATCAACAGATTCCTGAAGGTACTGCCCTTCCATATGCTAACCACAGCAGACACCCTTCGTGTTGTTGCACAGGGGGAGTGGTTCGCAACCGTGGACTTGATGGACGCCTACTTCCACGTGCCAATTGCATCCCATCACCGGAAGTTCTTGAGGTTCGCCTTTCAGGGCCGACATTATCAGTTCCGGGTGCTTCCCTTTGGTCTCTCCCTTTCTCTAAGGGTGTTCACCAGGGTCGTTGCGGCAGTGCTCGCTCCCCTGCAGGCACAGGGCGTGAAGGTCCTGCCGTATCTAGACGACTGGCTGGTTTGCGCGCCGTCCCGGCCCCAAGTGGCCCAGGATACGGCGCGCCTCTTATCCCACGTAGCCCGGTTGGGCCTAACAGTAAACACCGGGAAGAGTTGCCTGGACCCTTCCCAACAGGTCACTTACCTGGGGATGGTCCTAGATTCGGTCGCCATGAGGGCCTACCTGACACCTCGTCGTGTGGACGACATTTCCCACCATCTTCCCATCTTCAGACTGGGCAAGAGGGTGCCTTACATCCAGTTCCTCCGGCTCTTAGGCAGACTGACGGCTGCCTCAGCCGTTGTGCACTTAGGCCTGCTGTCACTGCGCCCCATGCAGATGTGGCTGAACAGCCTTCACTTGGACGCCAAGTGGCACAGGCACAAGAGAGTCAGGGTGTCTCAGCGGTGCCTCCACTCTCTGTCCCGCTGGAGGGACAGGGCCTATCTTCTGATGGGTGTGCCCATGGACGCCATCCCATCCCGCCGGGAGACTGTCACCGTGGATGCGTGTCTCTCGGGGTGGGGTGCGGTGTGGCAGGGCAGGACTGTTCAGGGTCAGTGCCATATCAATGTGCTGGAGCTTTGGGCTGTGTTGCTCGCACTCATGCACTATTTACCCCAACTGGCGGGCAGGTATGTGCTCGTTCGTTCGGACAACATGTCCGCCGTTGCCCAAATCAACCACCAGGGGGGCACCAGGTCCTTGGGTGCTCCCCCGCCTCGCCAGTCTGCGGGCAGTCTTTCTGCCAGGAGACCTAAATCAGGTCGCAGATTTCCTCTCATGGCACAAGCCTCCACCGGGGGAGTGGAGGCTTCACCCAGAGGTGGTGGAGCCTTTCCGGCAGGGCCGAGGTGGACCTCTTTGCCTCGTCGAGGCACTGCCACCTCTGGTTCTCCTGGACAGAGCTGACCAGCCCGATGGGTCAGGACGCTCTGGCGCACGACTGGCCGAACATTCTCCTGTATGCCTTCCCGCCACTGCCTCTGATACTTCAGACACTTCAGAGGGTCCTTACTCAGGGGCACAGGCTCCTTCTGGTCTCCCCCCGCTGGCCGGGGAGAGTCTGGTTCCCACTGCTGCGCAGTCTCTGCTGCAGCCCACCATGGCGTCTCCCCGACAGGAAGGACCTTCTGTCACAGCTCAAGGGTCAGATTTGGCATCCCGACCCTCACCGCCTTCAGCTCTGGGCTTGGCCTCTGCGGGGCCCAACCCACTGTTGAGTGGTTTCACAGCATCTGTCAGGGAAACTATCCTGAATGCCAGAGCACCATCCACTCGAGCACAGTATGGGTGCAAATGGAAGCTCTTCTCCCACTGGTGTTTGAGTAAGGCTGAGAATCCGGGGCATTGCTCCGTGGCCACCATTTTAGAGTTCCTGCAGTCCCTTCTGGATAGTGGACGTTCTCACTCCACTTTGAAGGTGTATATGGCTGCTATCTCTGCCTGATATGTTGGAGTTGACGGCGCCACAGTGGGGCGCCACAGGTTGGTGTCCCTCTCTCTGAGAGGGGCTCTACGGCAGCGTCCCCCTAGCACCCCAAGGGCTCCGGCTAGTGCTGGATGCCCTATCATCTCCTCCCTTCAAGGCCCTGGCCCAGGTCTGGCTTAAGTAGCTGTCCCTGAAGGCAGCATTTCTGCTTGCCATAACCTCAGGGAAGCGAGTCGGAGAGCTTCATGCACTCTCCGTAAGCAATACATGTCTGTGGAACTCCGATGGCTCGGGTGTGGCCCTCTGGCCGAATGTGGCGTTCCTGCCCAAGGTGCTTCCACTAGCTCTCTCCAATCGGCCTATCCAGCTGGCACGCTTTAACATTCCACAGGAGAGCGGCACGGCTGAGTTGCCGTGCCCTGTGCATGCCCTAAGGGCATATATTGATGCTACGGCCTGTATACGGCAGTCAGAGTAGCTCTTCATTTGCCATGGCGGCACTAGGAAGGGTCATGCTCTCTCTAAGCAGCGGCTGTCCCACTGGGTGGTTGATACCATCACACATGCCTATGGGGCCAGTGGCCGCCCCCCGCCATCAGGGGTGAGATGCCACTCAAGAAGCATCTCAACATCGTGGGCTGCCCTAAGAGGGGTGCCCCTGGAGACTCTGCTCCGCGGCGTCGTGAGCGTCTTCTGGCACCACGTTCTACCGGGTCAATGTTGCCACTCCTCACCCTCTGGGTGTGGTCCTGTTGCCAAGCTCCGCTGCTTCCAGCTAGGTGAGTAAGTGCTTGGATTCTTCATGACATGGTTGGTATAAGTCATCCAGTGCTAAAGCACCACCTCTGGCGGTCAGTAGGGATGAAATAGAACGATAGTTACGGCTGTAACTACGGTTCTATGACCGCCAGAGTATCCTGCCGGATGACCGCCAGAGTATCCTGTCACTCAGAATTATTGTGTGCTCGCGAGAAGATTCTGGGAACAGATCCTCTGACGACACCGGCTGCTATAGCCGGTGTCACATGGGTCACAGGGGACTTTGTTGTTATTGGTACTCGAGCTGCGCATGCGCGCGATGGACATATCCAGTGCTAAAGCACTGCCTCTGTCGGTCATCCGGGACTCATAGAACCGTAGTTACAGCCGTAACTATCGATCCTCAATGAAAACCACACTCAATCATGGAGCGCTGACGATACACAGTTCTACCTATCTTTCAAGATCGATGAACAATATCAATTAACAAAATTACAAGAATGCCTGTCAGATATAAAAGTATGGATGACCTGCAACTACTTATTATTAAACACTGACAAAACCGAAGTGATCGTTCTAATCTCTGTAGTTTCGACGTATCGAAAGCAGCACTCAGGTCTAATGGGGCATTTCCACCATGGCGTTTAAGCGTGCCGTGTCGTGCCGGGCCCGTTTTTGGTTGCGTTTCCACTAGGCCTAGTGCCGGCCCGGGGCTACTTTTTCACAGTTTTTCTGGCCTCATAAAATCGTGGTTCTAGGGCCAGAGACAACGAGGCTGAGTGGGGCTGAGTATGCTAAACTAGAGAGAGAATCGCTGGCAAGGGGGCTACAACTACAACAAGATGGACATATTTGACCGTGATTTAATTGTAATACACGTTTCAAAATGATGCCGAAGTAACAACATACTGATACCGGTTAGTAAAAACCATGAATTAATGCTTTGACAAGTCTGCAGACAGACGGCAGGCGAAAAACCTTTTAAAATGCGTGTTTTCTAGATGGAGATCGGCTAAGCTAACGCAGTATATGCTCCGACCGTCCACACTCACAACAACGGCCTATACAGACATAAATAAACCAGCGACTGTATTCGCCATGACACAGACAGTCTGTGGTTTGTACTTGTTTAACTTTTGTCTAGTTTCTGAACATATATGAGGAGCTGTGAGCTTGAGTGCTAACAGCTAACGGCTGATGTTGTTTTTCTGGGGTTCTCATTGAAGATGACGTCACGGCTCCGCCTACACTGCGTTACTATAGTTACTACCCCAGTTCCTAAACTGTAATGGAAGCGCAGCATTAAAGTGAGCTGGGCCTAACAAGGCCTAACAAAACCGTACTAAGTCGAGTGAGGCCTGCGGTGGAAATGCGCCATAACTGTACCAAGATAGAAAGAAGTCGATTTTCAGATGCCATGAGAAGGTCATTTGTGACTTTCACTAGTGCTGTCTCTGAAATGTGATGAACTCTAAATCCTGATGACATTTCTCAAGTAATGGATTGTTATTGTATTCACACAGCTGCTGAGCGACTGTTTTCTCAAATGTTTCGGTGAGGAAGGGAAGGTTAGATATTGGTCTATAGTGGCCCATTACCTTAGGATCAAGGTTTGATTTCTTAAGGAGAGGTTTAATTACATCTTCCTTACATGACTGTGTTACATAGCGTGACAATAATGACATATTTATTACGAATGTGTTAATTAGGGGTAACATTTCTTCAAACAGCTTAGATGCAATAGGGTCTAAGGCGCCGTTTACACAAGGAGAAAACTGCTTGTATCTGCATAGTTTCGCGTGCGTATAGCCCTATTATTTACACGAGGCCGATAGAAACTGACCCCACAAACAATAACGGGTCCCAAGGTGGATAGATTTGCAAACGAAACGCTCTGGGGGGTCAACCGAGTCCGTGTAATCACCTCTATACGAATATTTCCTGAAAAAATTGCGATAGCCCCACCTCTCTGCTGTAGCAACTATCAAAAATAGCTGTGTTAATTAAACGCACAAGGGGTTCTTGAATGAAATAATATTATAAAAGGCAAACCAGAATTGTTAACGCCCAATATACTCCTTAAACAAAATAAACAGAGTCAGATTTCATGCATTGATCCATTATATTGACAAAGGTGCGATCTCACCCGGTGTTTGTAGAGAATATCTCTCTTTCTGAGCCGTCTTCTCCACAGAGACGTGCTTCTGGTCGATGCAATATCCACAGATTCGGTTTCTTTCAGTTTCAGTTTCAGTTTCGGGGCTTAAACAGAAGGGTAGCCATGGCAACATTGCAGGGGGCTGCTCAGGTTGCTCTTCTTCGCGGCTTTTGGTGTATTTTGGCGGAAGTTACAGCGCCACTTACAGTCCCAGCATATGTACTACAGCGTTTCCAGCGGCCTCGTTTGAACAGACACGTTAAATGAAACAAATGCATGTGAACGGAAGACTTTTTTGAATACGCATACTGTGCATAAACGCAAACGGTCCCGTGTGAGCGGGGCCTGAGATCCAGGTTGACAGTTTAGAAGAATACACAATTGAAGTTAGTTGGTTAAGGTCTATTGGAGAGAATCAGTCTAGGTATATGTCTGGTGTAACAGCCGGTATTAAGGTTCCAGTGGGTGGACATGACTGGCTTCATTTATGCTGACATATTCTTCCTGTATCAGCCAGGTTTCAGTGAGACAACATCAATCTGTTTTCTGTTATTAAATCACTGACTAGTGCAACCTTAGATGACAAAGGTCAAGGGTTATCTGGGTCCCATTGAAATGCACATTTAGCTAAATATCTCTATAGTTGTTGTTTTTTTTAAAATGTAATATTAATTAATTTAATTGATCATTTAAAGTCCACTGCCGGATCTCCAAGCTCTGAGAAGGCAGCCCTTGAAGAGGTAGGTACTGCTCTTCATTTGTTCATATTTTTTATTATTAGTAATTTATCAACACTTGACATGTTTAAATAACATTTCTGGTGGTTGATTTAAAAAATAGAAAAATGTAAATTCTGCTGATATTTAACCTTTGTGATGTATTCTGTTAGGATAAGAGCTTCAAGTCTTTTTCAGCCACAACAACTTCACACTATATAAATCTGGTTATTAAAAGGGTATCAATTATCATTGGATGGAATGGAGTAATTTTTTAACATGAAGTTAGGGGTAAACTCTTTATAAAGCATCAATATTTGTTTTTTAGATTCATGTCTTGTGTTTTTTCCTGAACAATATTCACAAAATGTTCCTTAAATACAGGCACACTGATGTTTCAAGTGTAAGATGTATGAATGTAATTTGCTTTAAACATGTGTACCAGGCTCGGTACACTCGGTGTGTGATCAGATGATTTGTCTCCACACAGATCGCTCCTGCTGAGGAAGTCAAAACCCCCACCTCGGTAACTCACACTTTACTTCCTTTGAGACATTGATCACACCGTAAACACTTCTTCAGTCTACAGTAAGACCGCGATCAAATCCTGCTCATTTTTAAAGAATCCTCCTCTGGATTCATCATTCAATCTGCTCTTTCTGTCAAAGGGCCTTTGGTGGTCCAGCCTTTAACCCGAAACACTAAACACAAATTGTCTTTTCACAATAAATGTAAACTAGAGGTTATAGTAGTCTTACTGCTCCATAGTTTCTCTTGGAATAAAACCACATTGTACATTTTACATTTATATAATCTGTTCAATATTTAATATTAATATTCCGTCTGTCATATATTTATGTATATATATATTTGTACATATAATACCTTGTTAAATTCAACATGTATATTTTCTACTTTCTTGTTTATTTCTAGTCTTTTAATCTTTATTGTATTTTTATGCTGCGTTAACACAAACATTTCCCAAATTGGGATCAATAAAGTACCATCTTATCCTATCTTATCGTTTTATTATTATAAATTAATTAAAGTCATGATGTTTGTGTTCTTCAGGAAAAAATGCCGATCCCCTCTGTGGTGATCGAGCCCGCCTCGAGTAACGAAGGGGATGATGACCGTGATGCAGACATAATTTCTCCCACCGCCATCGGGGACAGCGACATGACGGCAGAGACCCAGACCATTAAACACATGAGTCCGTCCGGCGGCGTGTCGGGGCTCCCGGATGACTTCCTCTATAAGGTGGGTCTTCCTCCAGATACTATCAGCTGACAACAGACGCTCATTCAAAAATCCACACCTGATGTACTGTGTGATTATTTAGCATAAGAGGTCTACAAACTCAGTCTGTAGTCCGCAAGAGGTGGTGACGGTGTTTTCTGCCTGCAGGTGGAGACCATGCACGACTTTGAAGCTGCAAATTCAGACGAGCTGGAGCTGAAGAGAGGTGATGTGGCGCTGGTGGTTCCCACCGCTTCAGTAGAGGATCAGGTGAGAAACTCTGCGAATAAGTGGTCACCAGCATCCGGACAGGGAGCATCCCAACAGTTATTCAGAGCGGTACTGATTTGGTAGTGATCCGGTACCGACTGTCCTTTTGTTGTTGTTACAGGATGCCGGCTGGCTCACTGGGATCAGAGAAAGTGACTGGTTAACACTTGGTGCCAGTGCTCACAAAGGACTTTTCCCAGAAAACTTTATTCAGCGCTTGGAGTAAGAAGTATTTCAGCCGGGTAAAATATGAGGTTTGAGACACCGGTGGCCAAGCCGTCCAGTCAGCATGTAGCCAACCCCGAAACCCCCGATAACCTGCTGCAGACGTCTGCTGGACCACACAAGGCTTTCTCTGGTTCATGAAGCTCTACTCAAACTTAAATCCTTGTTAATAAAAGTAGCATTATTCCCAGCAAAGTGAAATTAATAAGCATGATATCAGAGTATGATCAACCCTTCTCTGAGACTGAAATGATTTTTTTGTTGAATGAAATAAGTTGTTTTAATTTATTGGGAATGATGCAATTCGTAAATGTTCATGCCAACAGAAGGAAAGTAGTTTGAACTAAATACACTAACCTGCCCCTTCTTGACAACGAGTGTGTTGTACTGGTTCTGTTGCTGTGTACAGGGTTCTGTAGTGCTGTGTGATCTATTGAACTGTTCTGTAACATGAAACTCTTTAGCGTGTTGTTTCTCTTCAACACGTCATCACTGTTATCACTGTGTGTGTGTTTCTGTAAAACATGGCCAAGCTTTCATTTGGCATATGTTGTGATGAGTTTAGCCAGAGTGTTGTGTTTTGTCCAAAAGAGTGTGACATTTATTATCTGAGCATTGGCAAACAACCAGTGCAAATCCAGCATTAAAATCTAATATTTTATTACAGTTAGTATTGTAAGATAGAAATATTATAGAAAATAGAGAGACCATAGAATTGGAGAGTTCATGTAAATCCAAATGTAGAGCTATAAGTCATATGTATATCGAAAATTATAGAATAGTAAGAAAGAAATCCAACAGAAGCTTTTTATTGGTCTACGATCACAGGGAATCTATTAACAAATGTATTATGCAATCTATGTTGTTGGTATATTCCAACGGTTCTGTAGATCAACAAATATGATGTCACTTCCTTTTTAAACTTAAATGTCTACCATTTTGTGATGTACATACAGTAAATATTTATGTCAAGATCAATAAATAAAAGTTCATAAGGTCCACTTTGTGAAATTCGTTTTGGGGTTAGGGTTAGGTTAGGGAAAAGGGCAGTGGTCCGGAGGAGCGCTGCGTAGGGCACTGGCTCTCGGGGATAATATTGTGGTTAAAAGAACCCTTTCTAAAAACTCCAAGGGAAATACATACAATATTTCTAAAAGCCCTGTTAAAAATAATAAAAAATCAATTAAAAAAGCAAGAGGAGACCAGATCACAGAGGAGGCAGAGCAGCGGGACCTAGAGATGTCCTAACCTTCCGGGGACCCTTAAAGGATGTGACTGACGAGGACCCGTCCTAAGGGAATCCTTCAAAAGGCCTGGCAATGGTGCAAAAACATTCATGAGACAATATCTTGAAAAAGCATGCAGGTAAACAATACAATGAATAGAGCAGTGTTTAAGGTAAAAATGTGTTTTGTAAAGAATTCACGCAACAAAACAGATTAATGGGTTGGGTCTCGATGTAATATAGATGCATATAATCTAACCCTAACCCTAACCCAATGGGATAAGAATCCCGTATTTCTTTAGCTGTTAATAGATGTGGATAAGAATTCCATATTTACTTTCAATGAGGTTGATGCGTATAATCTAGGACCAAGGTCCAGGCACCAAAGCCAGAGCGGCAAGGCACAGGGCAATCCAATAAAGTTAGGTATCGATGCTATATAGATGCATATAATCTATGATTTAGGCCTAGGCACAAAAGTGGTTAGGTTTAGGGCAATCCAATAAGGTTGGGCTTTTACAGGGTTTTTATAGGGTCTTTGTAGGGCTATTTAGATTTTTATAGAGTTTTTAACGTTTTTTTAAACACCCCCAGTTACCGAGAGCCAGCGCACCACGCCTCCGGAGCCCTACGCTCTTCCCTAACCTAACCCAAGGGGATAAGAATCCCGTATTTCTTTAGCGTAGAGTTGTTTGTCGCAGAGCCCTGTGAAGCTACCAAGAGCATTAAAGTGGATGTTAACTCTACATCAATGATGATAAAGGGCTCTATGAAAGTCAGAAACATCTGAGGCATCCACCTCTCAACTTACCAGGGTCTCTGCGCCAGCACCTGGTTCCCCGGAGCTCAAACAACCACACAGACACCCCACGACTACCCAGGAAACTACAGGCATGGTCGTTGGTGTCACGGAAGAAGACCATCATCCTAGGTGACTCCAACCTCTCCGCACCCCCAGTTTCTCACACCCAAACCTGCAGATTGATAGTTTCCCCGGTGCAAAATTCCACCACATCACAGCCATTCTCAACAAACTCTCCCCCTGCCACAACACTACACAGGTCATCGTTTCAGGACTCAACAACGGACTTTCGGAGACTTCACTGACGACTTCCACCAAACAATTACAGGCAATGTGGAAGCAAACCACCACCACCTTCCCCAATGCCACCATCTACATCCCCATCATCAACTTTTCAGACCGACTTAACACTCAACAACAGACTCTACTGACAGCCATCAACAACACCATAGGAAGGAACAGTTAAACTTATAGATGGGGATAATTGCCAAATCACAACTCCCCACCTGTCAAACATAACCAATGTTTCTGCAATTTTCTCCCTCATGGCTGCCCAGTTGGAGGTGCTGGAAAAAGGACTCCCTTTCATCCCCACTCCCAAACCACCCACTCGGCCGGAGCTCAGGGCGGACCTCCATGCCTTCCACAGGCATATCAAGCTCAGGGACCACTTCCTGGGGAGCCAGGGGCGGGAGCCTGTCCCATTCACCGGACCACCCACGGGGAACCATACACTGACACAATAACACGTGAAATAAAAAAAACCTTGACACACTCAGACATTGGCGCCCCCTTCCACATAGTACACCCAACATTAGCGAGGAACATAGAAATATTATTAAAACATTAGGAAACAGCCAACACATAGTCATTAAACTAGCAGAAAAGGGGGCCCAAATAGTCATACAGGACAGGTACAATTACATATTTGAAGCACATAGACAATTAAATAACAACACATATCACAGACCACCGACACACTCAATACAATTAGAAACACAAACACTAGTAAGCACTGTCGGAAATATGCTATATCTCCGAGACACTTCAGTTGAGCGACTTAGACCCTTCAAAAGTACAGTCGGTAAGTGTATAGTGAAATGATGTAGTGTTTATCGTGAAATGATGCAGTGTTTATAGTGTAATGATGTAGTGTATAGTGAAATGATGTAGTGTGTAATGTAATGATGTAGTGTATAGTGTAATGATGTAGAGTATAGTGTAATGATGTAGAGCAGGCATCCTCAAAGTCCGGACTCCGGTCCGGATACGGACCGAACCACAACTGTCTCTGGACTCTGAGCAAATTATACTTTTCATATGTATTATCTGTATTATCTGTGTTATCTGCGAGACATCGCCACAACGCAACGAGTCAAAATTCTCCGCTATGTCCAATGCAAACAACGCTCTGCATGTCAGACTGTTCCACTGTCTGTGTGTGTCTGTCAACGCATTGGTCCAATCACATTCAGCATCCCGTCAGCGTTTTTTCCCCCCACCAATAGTCTGCGAATCAGAGGCACAGTAGGGCGGGTCTTCGCGGAATGCGGGTGGGAAAAATGCGTGTGTGTTTAAGGCGAGACACGGCAGGCAAAAACATCGTTTTTCCTGCACTGGTCAATTTTGAGATTTTGTGCTATTTTGATTCCATAACATGTTTTCTTTCAGGCTTTTGGAAGGAAAACGTTCAAAATACACATTTAAGTGTTTATTTTACTATAGTTTGTCTATTTGCGTCTGTAGATTTCTCCTAAATTCACCAAAAGTTAGCATTCTAACGTAACATAAAGTACCACGACCGCTGTTTGCACCATAGCCGCGTTCACACCGGAGTACTTTCACCGTACTTTTCGCGTTTTAGTTCCGTGAGTACCCCTTATGTCGCGTTCACACCAAAAATCGTACTTAATCTCGGGTACTTTTACCCCCATTTTTAGAGCCAGCTCAGAGAGCGTACTTTTCTGTGGGTGAAAAGTGCTCCAAAAGTGCCCCAGTGCTGATTGGCTGGGCGAATTGCAAACCACGCCCGTACAACTCTGAAAATGTTGTGTGGAGACGCCATTGTTTTTCCTCGCTACAAAAACGAGGTTTGTTTTTGAAAGCAGTTATGGCAAGCATCAAGAAATGATGAGGAGGTGTCGGCGCTTCTGGAGATCTACGCTGAGGACGCGACCCAGGGAATGCTACTGAAGCCAGTTCGGTAGCTTTCACTCGACCTGGGAATTGTGCACAGCCGGCTAAATATAAAGAAACTCAGGACTACAAACGGCGGATTCAGTGGCCAACGATGACTACCACGACGAAGGTAAAATCAACTACATGCACTGGGGTTTTAATCTGCACAATAATGGTCTCAGATGTACTTTTATTTGCTCAGTAGATCAAGCTAGCCATGCTAGCCATAATAGGCTAACACCGGCCCCGAGCTAGCTACATCTAGCTAGCTAGATATTCTCCGCCGCTATGAAAACGTTTTGACTTGTGAATAACTGTGCAGTGTTTCTGTAATTTGCTTCACTAACTCATGGCACTAATCGTCTGTTTCAGGCGAGGATGGACAACTCTCGGGATTGGAAACAAGCGAGCTTTGCATTCTAGATCACAGCGCTAGCTCGTCCTCCTTACCAGCAACCAAACGCAAAGGTACACACACTGTAACTTTGTCTTGAAAGAACGTTACGCATCGAACTGATGTTCACAATCATGTTTATTTCATAATATTCATCATATTTTATGTTTAACTTGCCTCAACAACATTAAACAAAGTTCAAGCATACATGAAGCACTCTTCAAAAAGGAACAAACATTAGTGCAATTCACCTATACTTAACCCCAAATAAAAGAACCCAATAAAAACAGTTGTTAAATAATAGTGAAGTCACGTTGTAATAATAACTCATCTCTCGGTTTGAGTGTTCTTTTTCTGCTTTGCCTAAAGCCACTGTGTCAAGTGTCTAGTGACTATTTCTCTTAGCGGATGCATGTCAATTTAAATCAATACATACAACTATTTTTTAAATCAATAAAAACATTTTCTAAATCCATAAAAGCATTTCAATTAAGATTGGGAGTCATGTCGTTACTTTGTTGAGAATGTGGCCATGTAATAAACGGGATAATTTGCAGCGACTTGGTCATTGTGGGGAAAAATAACACCCAGGGATCCTGATCGTTTTAATGAGGTTGAATACAGAATATTCATATTTGTCAGTGATTTCATGTCAATTCGGCGAACATAAACATAAATGATCGTGGTGAAGATGATGATTAAATTAGGATTAAAAATCGGGAGAGCCGGCTGCATTTCCTCTCGTTCGTTTTTTTCGACTAAACAACATTATTTTGTTAAATAACAACATGGTGATGTTTTGTAAATGATTACATGTCTTATTTAGCACAGACTATGATCCTATCCGTGACATATGGATCTTAACAAAGATCCGCTATACAGTAGTACCAGACATACTGTACATCCAGCTTACTGTATCGAAGTTGATTTCACATGAGCTCCAGTGTGGAACCCCACTGCACCCCCTGGTGGATCAATGATCCATTGCAGCTGGCTTCACAATAATTACATTTATTTATCACGGGGGCGGTATCAAGTCAGACTGGGGGCCGGCTCTTCATCACGAACCTTTCACGGGCCGATCACGGACCGTGCACGAGCCAACCACGACCCTCGCGTTTCAAACTGTCCTAAATAAGACTGTAACTCTAAAAATTGTGTTGAATTGACACTTATCATGGTAGTGTTTATAGTGTAATCCACATTTAAAAATTCCACATCATCAGTAGTCGACCAAGGTATCATTGATTGTTTCTGCTTATTACGACTATCCAATCTCAACCCGGGAGAAGCCCTGCTCGGGGGATCAGTTCCAGCAGTGTGTGTCTTCAAAATTCGCAGCTGTGCTAGTAGGCTTCAGCATGCGTTAGGACCAGTGAACAGAGTGAGCCTTA